TTTTGGCTCCTGAATCCGTTCATTCAAATTCTCGATCTTGATCTTAAGAGAGCCTGAAAGTGATTCCTGTACCCAGAGCGCCCAAATAGGAGGAGCTAAGAGCCCTATATGCACATAAGATGAAGCGGTTAGCTTTGGTTGAACTGCAAGAATACCGTACGAAGTTCCATCGACGCGTGCTTGCTTACTCAGGAAAATAGCTATGATCCTTCTTAAGATTTTGAACGTTTTGCCTCTCAACTCACTAGATTTCTCTAAGATATCACAGAATTCCCTACTGCCATCGTCATAAAGAGAATACCAGAGCTCGAGTGCGTTGCAAATATGCCGAAAATCATGCTTCTGAGTATATGATCCTGGCCTTGACCCAAAAGGTAAAGTCTTGATATTTGTAAATTTAGCGATCGTATCTTGCGTTAGCAGTTCCAGTAACATTGGTTTTGCGACATCTGGCCCTGAGTACATGAGGTTGCCAAAGCCAGACGTCTCGCAACTGTTTGGTAGCTCCATGATGGATAAGGCGAGAGGATGAGACTGGCAGGAAAGAGACTGAAAGGTAATAACTGTGAGAATAACGAGGTAGGTCGATTAAAATATGAATAGTCCCGCATATAACAATCTCGCCAGGATTCTTTGTTTAAGTGTGTTGATGAGTCGAATTGATATCCTAGAAACGTTGTTCATGCATCTTTATTGGTCTAAACACCCTGTCACCACTAACCTTGTCAACCCGATGAACATCATCCTGACCGCCACCCTCCGAAACAGAGGACAAAGGAGAGATCTTTGCCCTTGATCACGCAAACTTGTCGTGGCTTAGAAAGCAATATGGGATTGACACGTGAGCAAGGGAGGGCTCGAATCGAATGTTCAAGCGACCCTAAAGAAGCAGATACCGGCATCGTCTGTGTAAAGCTTCAGGATTAGAATCGTGATATTGAATTAGGAGGACTTGGTATCAACTGCGCTAATATCATCAAGTCAAAGAAGTTGTTTCAAGCAATGTAATAAAACGGGAGTGTCAGATGTATGGTAACTTGAAACTTACATTGTGTGAGATGGTTTGTTCTCATCGTTCTAGTATCTCATAAAAACTGAATGATGTTACAAGTCACGGGTCAAACATCTGTACAAGTGCCATACAATGACGCAAAAGTAGCGGATGTCAATTCTCGTCTACACACGTCCTACCCCACGAATAACCCCAACTTCCTTGCAGGCATCGTCTGTTCCGTACTTCGGAGTGCGACGGTAAGTAGAGAGCATGGGTGATTTTCTCGTATGCCTTGCGCGTAAGGCAAGCTGTCACTTTAATTCTAGTCACTAGACTTCACTTTCATGTTACTCAACAAGGTTCCTTCCACTGCGTAGCAGAAATCGTTTGCTTGTTTCTCTTCCCTTCTTCACGCTAGATGCTCAATCCTTGACCCCTGAGTCCTGGAAAACAGCCGGAAAATCGGCAACCGCTACATGTCTCAATCCAAATCATCTATATGCCCGCTTCCTTTGCTACATCAAATTTTCCGGCTCGTGTATCTTGGGGGTAAACCCAGTATTGATGGACTGTTCGGTGTCGTGCGAAAAAGATGAATCCCGAATGGTGAACGAGTTCGAGCCCAACTTCAATGTCAATTTCAGCCGATTCTGAGAAAGATTTCTTCGAACCTTTGATCATCTCTGAGTCCTGGAGCCTTGGAGAAGACGTCGGCCAATTTGACGCTGAATTCTCCGATTGAAATCCTGCGGAAACGTTAATCGAGTAAACAAAAGTGTGATGACAGTGAACAAACTATGCTATACTTTTGATGATGAACTTTCAGTAGCAGTGACATGAAACTGTCGTAAAGCTCAGGGCTTTCACGTCTCACTTGCTTAATATAGTGCATTGCTTCTTTATAGGTAACAGGTTCTCCTTGTCGCATATTTCGACTTTGGCTATCATCTGCAGTATTGGGTAAGTCTGTACCACGGAGCTCTGCCGCCGTATTGGTTTCCTCGGCTTCACCGCTAATCACTTCGTCTCGCTGACTGGTATCTGATGACAGACTTTCTGTATACGAATCATGCTTTAACGGGAGAGCTGCAAGAGAAATCTCCTCAAGATGACCTTCGAAGTGATTGAGAATAACAATCTTGCCACAACCAGTTTTCTTTCGGCACAGCGGGCATTCGGAATCTTTCCATTCGGGTCCGAAGTGGTCGAGACTGAGGTGGGAGACCCAATTCACACGAGTGCTGAAGCCGCCCTTCTGCCCACACGAGGGTTCCAGGCATTGCCAAGGCCTCAAGTCGTTGTACAGATGCCGTCTCCATGCAGATTTATCCTGCGCGATAATCGATTCGCCGCATGCTATACAGCGGAAACCGGAACCCTTCCTGGCCGACTTGGGCAGGGGCGGCAAGCGTACTGAATGCCCTTCACCGCTACGGTATGACATGATTGTCTCAGCGTATGATGAAGGAATGGATGATCCTAGGCCCGAATCGTTGAACTTAGAACTTGCAGCGTCCGTATCCCTGGCCAGACTCGGAGGTAACGTGATAGGATCATTCGGATCCTCCCACGGCTCCGAGATATTACTGTCTCTCTGCTTTTGTCCTCTCAAGAATCGCTCGTAATTGGCTTTCCCGAGGACAGTAATGAGTTCCTCATTCGCTTTGGGAAATTGCTTGCTGATTATCTGGCTGTAAGGTTCGTGCGGTTCCCAGTTGTGAAAAGATGATGCAAGGGGTTGCCTCATGTCTCCAGCATTCAGGATGGGTTCAGAGAACAGGCCGTCGAGGTCCATCAAACTTCTTGTGTCTGTTTCGAGATCTGCCATGATTTGTATGATATCGTCATCGTCATATTCGGATGATCCAGTTGAGAATTCACTCTTTGAGTGGTCGTCTTCGGCCTCTTGGATAAGTTGCCGCAGCTGTTCTACTTTATTCGTGAAACTCTCTGACAGTTGCGACTTTTCTAAAAGGCCTATTATCCAAGTTGATGCCACAAGCCCTAAAGATAGACCGCGATGATCAGCTTCGACGCAACTACGAAGAGTTTCTTGAAAGATGCATAGTGATTTCCGAACTTACTCTCGGTAAGAGTTGACCCTATACTACATAAGACCTCAAGCGTTGCACCTCGCAATCGGCTAGATCGCTCGAAGATATCATCGAGTGTTCCGCTCGAAATTCCATATCCGTCTGACCATAGACGAAGCCTGTCGGAGCTCCTTCCAAGACTAAAAGAATATGACTGTGATTCAGAGCTTTCCTTGACTCTGTCAATCAGACTTTTGTTGATGTCCTGAAATACAGCGATCGTTCCATCAGTCAGGCGTGCAACGAGACTAGCATCCACGTGAGGTGTTTCCCCGGTCGCCGCGTCAAGGAAAAACCGAATAAGGTAGTTTGGATCAACGGTTCCTTCATCCTTCAGAGAATTCATCTTCCTGATGAAACCAAATAACTGCAAGATATGGCAGTGAGTGAGTTTGAGAAGGGCAGGCGAGAGCGGGGTAGGTATTTCCAACAAAATCGCCAGCCTGCCTCCTTGAGGCGCACCTATGCTTCAACCAATGAGCCGACGCCTTTTGCCGCCTGCCATGCCAGCCCTGCGACCAACAGCCTTCCAGGTTATTCTTGCATTTTGTGGTAAGAGAACAGAAGTCATACACAAGAGGATCATGATCTGAAAGCTCTGAACGATCGTGCCAATGGATCCATTCTCTCTGACTTTGGGCCTGTTGCCGTTGGTCGGCGGAGCAATGAAGGCATGCTCCGTTGTCCGCAAGAGATTCAAGACATTTCGCCACTACTCGCGAGAGATCCGGCGCATTCAAAAACAAGTCGACCGCCAATTGAACTTCTTTACGAATGAGATACACCTGCTGCTAAGACGAACGGTTGAGGATGAAGAGACGATCGCATTGATGCTCGGGAATGAGAACACTCAACAATGGCACAGCAACCAGATTGAGGAAGAGATGAGAAAAGCACTAGAAAAGGACTACGATGTTTGCCAGGGTGTGATTGAAGACATTGTCGGCGCGGCGCAAAGCTTCCAGGACGACTTCCGCTGCTTCGATGGGCTCGCGGCAGAATGCCGACAGACAAGTGGAAGATGACATAAGAGGACGGTAGAAGAGTGAACTGACATGTCATTACAAATCCAGGGCGAAAGTCTCAAAGATGCTGTGCGCAGGCTTCGCGGACGGATGAAAATCTCACTGGACGAATCCAGGTTCGAGAAGCATGTCCAAGATCTCCGGGCGTCCATCGACGACCTCAAACGTATCCGAGAGCAGAGGAGTGAGCTGAGGCGAAATAACAATGAGCTCATAGCCACGAAATCACCACGTGGGAAACTGAGCCAAGAATATGGGCATATCGGTCAAGTCAGGAGGGCATCGAAAGCCTTTCACGAAGCCCTTGCAGAGGCCTGGTCGACCTCGAGTACTTCTACAGACGTACTCGGCATGCGCCACACTGTTCGACTGTTTCTGGATACCACGGTCAAAGAAGATGTTCAGATGCATGTTGCTATATCCTGCATGGGTCATGAGCTTACCGATAGGTGAGCTTTCCTCATGCCCTTACCGTCGGAGTATCATGCTGAAGACTTTAGGACTGTGGCACAGGAAAGGCTCGCTAGAATTCTAGTGCGATCACAGATACGGACCTGGATCGCTGAAGCCGACAACTCTACGTCGACTGCGCCTGGTCCAGACGAAAGACCCCGACAGAAACGAAGAAAAGTTCGCTTTTCGCAAGATGTACTAGAAGAGACCGGCAAAGAAGATGATGAGTTTGACGCAGCGAGAGGTGCTCGTCATCACCAAGGCTCATCAGTCAACTTGTGCTCAAAGGGCCTATGCCCAGCCTTGAATAGCGTCTTCAACTTTGCATCGGAAGGAGTCTATAGCGACCAATGTCTGGGGTACATTGACAGCTCATCGCAAGATCCATTCCGGCATTCGATTTACCCGGGATCCGTGGACAGTCAAAACCATATCATGACCACGTCTCAAGCTCTGATGTCAATGAACGACGTGTTGATGACTCCCGCCGAGACCTCACTTTCCATCATTGATCAACTCAAACTGGCTCGTGATATGGTGAGCGCGGTTCTCAAGTTCTACTCGACACCGTGGCTGAGGGAGTACTTCACGCTTCGAGACCTCTCTTTCTTCCAGATGAGCGGGGACTTTTCCAGGTGCCTTCGGACCCTCCATCTAGGCTTTGACTTTGTCCAGTCATCGGCCGCAAGCTTACCACGGAGCATGGAGGGGATAGAGGTGACGGCCATGCCGGACAACAGTGACGGCGGCCGTAACGAAGTAGAGACCGCCGCCGAGCGCGCAAAGTTGGAGTATGGAATACGCAGCCTGACGCTTTGGAGTCTCGGTATTACTCTGCTTCAGATCGGACGGTGGTCAAGCCTAGAAGCCCCGGAAGACGTCCTCAGCGTTCGGAGGCTATCGCGGCAGGTCCCGACTTTGGGCCCGAAGTATAGGGACCTTACCAGGAAGTGTCTGGAGTGTGACTTCGGGTTCGGCGACGACTTGTTGAAGCCGCGCTTGCAGCAGGCTGTGTACGAGAGCGTGGTTTGCGAGTTGAGCGACATGATCAAGACCCTCAATGTCAGCGATGATTGAAGATGTTGGATAGCTTCCTGAGGTAATTGGCATTTGGGCTGCGACCAGGTAGGACAAGTCATGCTCGCCGTACACGACCTTGAAAACCACGGCAATATCTCATTAGATTGTTTCACAGTATTGTTTTCTTCCTCAAGAAATGCTTAGAAATTTGGTTGATGACGCCGTGCCCTCCCTTCCCATGAAGCTGCTTTGCAAGAGACCACCCGTTCCGGTGATGAAGACCTTCGAGCCAATGTGGAAGTTGTAACTTGACAAGCTGTCCTCTCAAGGACCTCTGAGGTATCCAGCGGAGACTCAAGGACGACTACGCTTGTTTCGAGTTGAGACCCTCCCAATAAGCCGGTCCTCGAAGGTGGCCCTATTTCGCGCAACATACCATTCGCTCGCACCGTGAGCGGCCCACCCCCGGGAGACCTCTCTTCTTTGCTGACATGGCTCAAGGTCCCAGCGATTCTGGACTGACAAGACACAGACCCATCCTCAAGCGCATCGTGATACATCCTCTTTTCATTCTCCACATAGGCTATGCGACAATTTTTCCGAGACGGGAGCTTACGAGAGTGTCCGTCAAGTAAACAACTACGTGGCCGTAGTAGGCATATTCTGATGTGAGAACAAAACGCAAACATACCAAGAGTTACTGCCATGAACTCTGCTACCTTCAGTCCTTTGCGAGAAGTCTTTACTTTCGGCGTCCGAAGCACCTCCGAGAGAATGACACCGGACGCTGCTTTTCCCCGGCCGCGTCGGCGGGCAGGATCTTAATCAACGCACGCAACCCCTCCAAACAGTCAATGTCCCTGACTATGCTCTCATAGATTTGACCGGACTCATTCAGTAACGCCCTGACCCGGGTGTCCTTCCACTCGCTGTCTTGCTCGTCTATCAAGTCTGCAATAACATGGTTGACACTGTCATCCAGTGCAGTGTACTTTAGTGCAATCCAATGCTTAACGGCTGGGTCGTCTGCAAGTTCGGTAATCGTAGGACGGACATCTTCATTCGTCACAGTCCGGTATAGTGGCACCAAAGATTCGCAGTCTGGATCGCAGTATGCACCTTTGGTCCTCTCCATCTCCTCACGCAGTTCCCTGACCTTGGTCATGAGATATTCAAAAGGCCCAAAATGTGCCCACACAGCCCAAAGTGACGGATCTGCGAGTCCTATGCATGAAAATGAGATGGTAAGCTGTAATGTTCCTTCCAAAGTCAAGTGGCAACTCTTCGAGGCTCCCTCAACTGCCTGTCCACTTACTCGAACTAAGGACTGTTGCAATGCTGTTCAATTTCCGAAGTGTAAAGCATCGCAACTTCTTAGATTTCTCTAAATGCCTATCCAGGTCTCCAATAGGAACCATGTAGTCGTTCGACCACCTTTTGAATCGTGCATAAGCTTGTCCTAAATCGTACTCCTCGTGGACAAAGTCCAGGGTTGGACCGCGAAAATGATATTCAATTGTTTCGAAGACAATGATCATTTTATCCACCAAGGGTGCCATATGAACCGGTTCCATTACATTTTCCGTCGTCGTTGCTGCACACTTGGTGTCGTTTGAAGCAAGCGCATTGCTAGTACGTGGTGGCGCCATCTTTGGCAGCGCGAGAAGTTGATGAGGGCAAGGAAAATGGGTGAGGATTGCGGACCTGACCGGAATATATGTTTTGTAATTGAACAGGTCTGCCGGCATTCTTTATCTAAGCAGCTCGAAACTTTGTTCACCTCGATGAGTCCTGAAATCAGAATAACGCCGTTCATGGGTCTTTGTTGGTCTACACAACCTGCCATGGTTAACCCTGTCCACCTGAGTCCATGAGTGAACAGCCCTGCCGCCTCATTCCGTGAGAGGACAAAGAGGCGATAAACACACTAAGTACCGTGTCACGATTTACTGTTCCATATCGTCGTCGAATGCTACTCAGAATAGGGCATCGATCAGGCAGATGTCTGGAGAATAGGAGACAACTCCGCCAAGTCCTGATCAAGGGCTGGTTTCAGGACCAATCAAGTCTATAATTACAAGTCGCGGGGAATTCGAGTCTGGGAGCACCAAGACAAGTTGACAGACGCAGCATTGGTTATACATTCACTCATCTATTCTCGATTCATATGACCACACGTGAAGCCTGTTGCTGGGGAATGTAGATTTTCAATGGAAGCCCGAGTCCTAATCCAGTCCCGGCAACCACCCATGGGTATCCAACGAACTCAACCCCTCAAAATTAGGACTCGCCGTATCCTCAGACGACTGCCTCGGCGGCTGCGTCTGCGGCTGCGGTGGCGGCGGCTGCATACCTCCATTCCCGCTCGAGAACATAAACATCTGATCGCTAGCCGGCATCCCGCCGCCGCCTCCGGCGCCGGGCTGTGACGCTGCCATATTCCACGCTTCAAAGTTCTGGTGCCACTTGGCGCCGTCGTTGAGGAACCAGTCCTGGTCTAGGCCCTGGAAGACTTGACCGGGGGATAGTTGCTGCTGCCGCGCGCTGCCGGATCCGGCGCGGGAAGTCTGTGATGGGGCGAGGTTGTTGTTCATTGGGGTGAAGCGTTGTTGTTGCTGTTGGTATATTGGTATTGACTGGGCGAGGCCGGCTTGGGACCAGCCACCTAAGGAGTTTGGTCCCATGCCCATTCCGGTATGAGAATGGTGAGACGGTGGTCTTGCACCGCTGATTTGTGCCAGAGACGCGCTCGCCATTAGAAGATCCGTAGGGCTAGGTGCCACATCCTGATCGCTAGTCTGCGGTTGCGCAAACTGATTGAGCGGGCTATACTGATCCGGCTTCCCCATCACCGGCGAAACAGGACCCTGCGTAGGCGAAGGCGACGACGCAACAGTGAGATTCGACCTCGGCGACGGCACGTCCGACGTACTAAATGTGCCGTACGTCTCGTCTGTCCTCCTCAACACGGCCTCCGCCTCCTCGGGCAACTCGACGTTCCACTTCCGCGCCAGCACGCTGATGATGCTTAGGGTACGGCGCGCGCAGAGCCAGTCTTCGGCGATTTCCTCGAGGTGCTTCACGCCGTGGATGATGTCGCGCTTGGCTGTCTTTTCGGGGAGGTTGAGCATGTGGATTGTGCAGGCGCTGTGGACCATGTAGACGGCGATGTTGCAGATTTGTCGAAGGTTCCAGTTTTTCTTGTAGAGGCGCATGAGTTTGGATATGGCCCCGGCATTGGCTGTGCAGATGCGTCGTGGTGAGACGTGGGATGGGAGGGGAGAAGCTGCGGGTGTGTATTTCAGGAAGGGGCGGAAGAGGTGGATGTATTGGAGGTGGAAGAACATGCTGGGACGATGTTAGTATTGTGCGAATGATGTAGGGAGTGGTGCTGGACTCACTGGACGAGAATCACGTTGGGGAGTTGTCCTTCCTTTGGTTCCAACTCGTTTGGCAATTCCTTTCGCCAGTCCTCCAGCCTCCGGTGAAGCTCGCTCAGCTTCTTGAGTTCCACCGACTTCCCACTCGAGCGGCCAATATGATTTGGATGATAAAAGAACAAGAGCAAGTCGCTACTTATCTCACACAGCTTAGAGAGCTGTAACCCCACGGCTCGCGTCCTCGACGGCTGACTGCATGTCTGATCGAACCCCGTATCTGTATAAGGCGCCCACAATTCGGCATCCTCAGAGGGAAAGACGTCGTACTTGGGCACGTTGTACGAGTTCTTTGGTATCTGCGGCAGGCGGCCCAGATAGTTCGACCACGCCTTATCAAAGAGGAAGCACCCCCAAAACGTCATCCGCCTCGCGTCGACGGCGTGTTCTCCGAGATTCTCCTTATCATTGGACATGCCGCCGTCGTCAAAATTGAGACCGATATCCTGGGCCATGCGGAAAGCCATGCCCGAGTACACCCAGCCTTTCGCCTCCCGCCCGCAACCGGCCTCCCTGACGGACATGAGCGCCAGGGCCTGGACGGTCGTGAGCTTGGGTCGCTCGTACTCGTCATTCTCGACAATAAGGCGCTTCGCCTCGGCAAAGAAGTGGTCGCCCTTTGTACGGCTGTCCCCCGGCGTCCCGTACGCTCCCGGCACACAGGTGAAGTGGCACCCGAGGGATAGCATGGCGTTGACTAGGAGTGGTGAGCAGTAGATGGTGCCTTTGTAGTTGAGTGCGTGCTTCCCCTTGAAGAAGTCACGGTAGAATAGTGTTTTTGATAATGTCGTGAAATATGTGTAGTGCCAGTTGAAGTACATGTTCATGAGGTGGGCGATGAGTTCCTTATCTTGCGTAACTCTCGTCCAGCTGGTGACGGGGTCCTCATTGGCGAGGTTCGTGTCGGACTCGGGTTCGTTTGTGTCGGCGTCGCCTGAGTCGCCTAGGTAGATGAGATGTGATGTGCCTCCGATGAAGCGTACTGAGCCGTTCTCGAGGCGTAACTCACCCATCTTGCGAGCGAGTTCCCTCTCACCCTCGATGGGCATGTCGATCGTGTACCCGTCGTCTCCATTGTCGTTATCCTCGGCTTCCTGAAGCATGGTCTCATGTTTCAAGATCTGCTCAGCGACAGTATCAAGGCTGTCGCAGGTCCTGATCCTCTTCACAATGTCGGGAACCTCATCCTCGTTTGCGTTGAGAATGGCCTCGATGAGAATCTGTAGTGTCGAGTTGCGCGCCTTCATGCTATCGACCTTTTCCTTGTAGACGCCCTTGCGGCGGTGGTCCGAGTTTGGGTCATAGACGCACTCGGTTCCGTAGACGCTGGCGCACGCAGCGCAGCTGGGCACGGCTCCATCGCATTTCGATTTCCTCCGGCGGCAGGCGATACATGCTGTGCTCACGCAGCGCCGCTTCTGTGACGCCGAGTCGCCTCCTCTGCGCGACGACTTCTTCTTGGCCGCCGGTGCTGGTTGTGGTGCGGACGATGATGATGATGAAGAGGGCTGTTCCGGGGGGTTGGTCAGGGAGCCGCCGGATGTGGACGTCAAAAGGAGATCTGAATCGTCCATCTTTCTTCCAAGGCACGTCTCTGGCTGCCGAGTTCCGAACTAATGAGATGACCTTGACGCACCGGAAGGGGTGAAGCGAGCGACCGGAGATGCTGAGTCCAACTTTGATGCGGTGCGCGGAGATATGGAAATCAGATGGGGACAGCAAGTCCCCGGGAGACGGGGTGGATGCGACGGCGGCAGCAAGGTGAAATGACAGCCCAGAGCCCCCACCGGAGCAATAGGATTCAAGAGCTGCAAGACAGCGATACCCGATGCCGATAAAGGGGGTACCGCAGGGACGGGAGCGAGAACCGTGGAGAGAGAGAGAGAAAGAGAGGGGGGTGTGGAGGGGTTCTGCGGGCTGCGGGCGTCTCACCTCTCCGTCGATGTTGAAGGTACCCTGTCGTTGAGATAAAGACGCGGCAGGCGATTGGGCGTGCAGAGCATGCGGGTTGGCGCGACGGCTGATAACGAGCCAAGGGAGTTGAGTATCGCGGCTTGGCTATTGATGACGATATACTTAAAGACTGGTGGGCTGCCGATAACTCATCAATATCGAGGAAGCTGTGCGTTATTCGCGATATTGCAGCCTCGTTTCAGCCTCGGTTTGGTTATTGTATGAATGCTTATGGGTTGTCTGGTACACGATCATCAGAAATGTGAGAGTTCTCTCATTGAAAGTAGGACTAAGAATAACGGTCGGGCAAAGAAAGTAGCACATGTCTTGGAGTAAAGGTGACTCTGGCGCATCTCAGTCGCGGGCGGTTCGGATCAATGGCAGTATTGCATAGGTGCATTGGTTACTTGCATATTACGTACCAGAAAAGAAGTATGGCTCGAGGCGGCTTATGCGTGAGGCGAGGGATTGCCTAAAAGCCGCAAAGCATTGAGAAACGCTGAGAAGGCGGGAGGCGCAAATGGACGGCTCGCGAGGGGCCGAAGCGGATAAGTAAGGTAAGTTTGCGCCGGCGCCGGTGGGAGAAGTACTGCAGCTTCTATCGTTGTTCCGGGTCTCTGGAAAGCGTGATGAGAAATCCAAAGTGTTTGACTTGACGGCTATGGCCGGAATGCACAGAGGCTGGGATTAACTCGGGGTGCGGCAAGCCGACAGGCGATTGCGGTGGTGGAGAGGTAGATCCGGCCTAGGCACCTTTGTTCCGGCGCAATGTGGAATCAGATGCCGGGCTGCTGCGTGAGGCCGCCGGCGGAGTCTAAGGTTGTCGAAGAGTAAATGCCTGCTTTTTTTTTCATTCGACTGTGGCATTGCTGGATAGTCTCAACAGGGGCCAGCTGACAGCTCTCTTCTATCCGTACGTGGCCGTGACCACGAATTGGTCACAAGAAAATGAGTAAGTAGAAAAAAAACCTTGGAAAAGAGTTTTGCTGACAATTCACCTTCAGAGTTCTGGCTGCTGGGGACGACTTGAATACCTCCGCGGCCCGCAGCTCCACGAATTGGGAGCCGAGCCGGGATGAAAGGGATACCCTAGTCATCATGTAATGCGACTGGCGTAGTGGGGTTTCCACTGTAGTCTGTACGCAGTATTCTGTAGTGGTTCCATAGCAGCAACATTACGAGGAACCTAATCTGTAGATGGACAAAGACGTGTTGCGAGATGGAATGGACTATCCTAGTTATATGTTGACATGAGCTTTGCAATAAAAACATATTGTAGGTGTCGAAACGTCCGTCTTGAAGTGTCAAGAACTCGATACCATCCTTCACTATTCTATCTTTATATTATTTGGAATTTATTTCTCAAATCAACAACGAGACGAGCACTTACGATAATGGGATTATCTAATTCAGGAAAATCTCGACAGTAACAACAGACTCGGACATATTCATGGCAAGTTGTTTGATGATATCATTCCCGACGAAGCAGTACGGTAGAGAGCCTGAGAGACAACGATGCTCGCTCTTCTCCCTGCAGAGATCCGCTAGCGCATGACATTTAAGGTCTCGCTAAACCCGCGCACGTGCCATAACCCCACCAGCCCTCTTCCCCCACCTTCAGTCTGATCCGTGCGCGCGGGGCTTCCCCGGCCACGGAACGGCCCTCCAAATGTTGAAGACCTCCCGTTACTTTGGACACCCGCTACTTTGATCCGAATGCCCACCTGGCTTCCGGTTCTGACGTCTGTCGATCGACCCTGGGCTCTAAAGCTTTTCAGTTTTACTTTTATTTTCGAGGTACATTGTTGGAAAAAAGCCCAGACGTCATCTCCATCAGCCACAAGTTGTCACAGACTTGCGGTTCTTTGCGCACTTGAGAAACCTTACCCTGGAGCTATGGCCACTACCCGCAAACACGATACCTGAGTCGTAGCTTATATCAAAGTGCTAAATGCGGCAACCCAATGGCCGAAGCCCTGACCGTAATAGAGGTCGCCCTCTGCATCACCGAGGTAGTCGAACGCCTCTGCAAATACGTCTCCGCAGTCAAATCCGCCAAAGATGACATACGCAAGCTCACACAGGAGCTCCTCGCCCTCAAAGGCGCAATGGACCACTTCCACGTCCAAAACGAGCGTAGCATGGATAATCCGCTACAGGAGCAGGCCCGCGCCATGCTCAAGATGACCCAGGAGACTCTCGACTCCATACGAAAGAAGCTCGGCACGCCAAAGACGTCGTCTCTGAGCCGTGCCGCCCAGAGTCTGGCCTGGCCGTTTCGGCAGGGTGATATTGAGACGTATTTTGCTACCGTTGAGAGAGCCAAGACGTGGTTCATCATGGTCCTCATGCGGGATTCACTCGATACCACCGCGTCTGTGTTGTCAGAGATGCAGAAGCTGACGGCGCTTGTGCATGAGGATATCGTGGCGCGCAAGACGGATCGGATGCTTGAGGAGACGGCTGATCTACTAAAGTGGCTTTCGCCCGTCGACAGCGAGGACAAGCTTGTCAGTTCTAGGCACGATCGCGCACCGGGTACTGGTAAATGGATAGTGGATAAGACGTTTCTGGAATGGCAAGGGAGCACTCCCACTGATCAGCCCGTATTCTGGATCACTGGAAGGTGTAAGTCATTTCACCCATATTTGTAGCCTATGCAGCATCCTATTGACACAGAAAACAGCAGGATCCGGCAAGACGGTGCTTTTGTAAGAACAAACAAGACTCTGGCGTTGCTCACGCAGTACTGACTGATACAAGCTCGCAACTCGTTGAGGACCTCGGAGCACATCCCAGCGATGAGGCCTCGGAAGAGAACGGCAACATAGGCGTCGGTTTCCATTGTTGTTCGCTAGACGATGCGGCATCTCAAGCCGTCCCGAACGTCTTTGGCTCCATCCTGGCTCAGATAGGAGCGACGAACCCCAGTATCCTCGATCATGTCCGGCCGCTGAGGAAGTCTGGGAACACTTTGATTCCGCAGAATAACCTCTCCGTCGAACAGATCTATGACGTGATGGGTCAAGCACTCGAGTTGTTTGATGTGTTTTATCTCATGATCGACGCCCTCAACGAGACGAGCCAGGAATCTGTCATTGTCAAGGCCCTTTTACACCTCTGCTCAAAGCACTCTAACCTACGGGTCTTGGTTACGTGTACGCGCGAGCCGGCGCAGGCTGACCCCAGCATATGTGTCCGACATATGAGCACAAGGTCCATAGATTGTGATATCGAGATGTATGTGGAGGAAAGGCTTTCGAGCGAACAGAGTTTCCAGTCCTTGAGTGTGAAAATACGAACCGAGATCAAGGACAAGGTCATGTCAGAAGCGGATGGGACGTGAGTGTTCTGGCACGACTCCGTTGTGGTCAAGACTTACAATGCTGCAGATTTCGATGGGCCAAATTGTGCATGGATAGACTCAGCACCCTTCGCACTGGGAGAGACGTACGACGAGCTCTGGTCGATATCCCGTCCACACTCAACGGGTTTTACGCCGGTATCCTCACCCGTGTACCCCAACAAGACCGGGCCATGGCTCGCGAGGCTCTTGCCTGGCTCTGCTTCTCTCTCCGACCGCTTCATCTCAATGAGCTCGCCGAAGCTATCGTCCTCGAAGGTGACGAAGTCAACATTGACGATGACGACCGACTCACCGACCCCTCTGCCATAATCGAGATCTGTCAAGGCCTAGCCCACGTAAGCGACCACTACGTCACCCTCGCCCACGACTCTATCCGCACATTCTTACAATCAGAATGGATACGGACTTCTTCTGCCTCGGAATACGCGCTGGACGCAGCCGCCTGTCACCAAAGGATCATGCGCAAGTGCCTCGCCTACCTCAGACTCGAGCCCTTCACCACAGGCCCCTTGGACAAGCTCCGGCACGTAAAGGCCAGATTTGCAGCCTACCCGCTGCTGAATTACGCTACAAACATGTGGCCCATCCACTCTGAGCGCTTCCCCCTCTCAGACGAAGACGAGAAGCTCATTCTCGACTTCTTCGACACCAAGAAGCTCTCGCACGGCGGCGCCTTTGAGGCGTGGGTGCAGTTCGTCCTGCGCTCGGCGGACCTGGACGTCATCCGGCACACGGAACCGCTCTACTACGCCGCGTCGTTCAACATGACGTCCGTCCTGCAGTTGATACTGAGACCAGAGTACAAGATCGACGTCAATAAGAGAGGCGGACGGTTCTCTTCGCCCCCGTTGTTTGTGGCGCTCTGGAGGGACAACGTCGAGGCGGCCATGTTGCTGCTCAGGGCCGGGGCGGATCCGGATTCTCGGGATACGAGTGGGCAGAGTAGTCGGCGCCTAGCCACGAGTCGAAAGCATCACGATGTTGTCAAGCTCATGAAGGAGATGAGTCCGGCTGGGGCAAAGAGGTCGCCGACTTGGAATTGGGATAGGGGGGCTCAGGATGAGTGGGCTATAGAAGATGCTCTTGCACAATCGAGACTGAGAAACTATATGGAGGAGGATTCCTGAATCGATACCAACGCGAAGCAGCCTCCTACAAGTAGGGGTCACTACAGTTGAACAAAGACATCCTGAGCATTAGGTAGCATCAAGGACACAAAAGTCGGCTGAGATCTATCCCGAGGTACTGAACGATTACGAACAGTCTGTCCAAGCCACATGCTTTCAGCTGGAACAGTGTCCATATAGTAGATGGCGTAAGTACTGGACAAGGATATCCGCCTATGATCAGGGGCCATAATTTGGGGCAATGTCAGAAGACTCAGCGTAAGGTGGTGATGCAATGCGCTGGGTGGTGAAAGACGCACTGCCACACCGAAGCTGGTGGAAGGTGAGAGGTGCTTAAAAGTGGAGACACAAATCAATGCGGTTGTGGCTCGTGGCGGTGTTCTCTATGTACAATGCAAGATTACTAAGCCGGAAAGTAACCCCCACTACAAGCATCACGTCACGTCTTGCCGGTGAAGAGGTACCTCCCCCCAGCCTACCTAGCAGCACAGCGCTAAGGGACCGACGTGACGGGTGCGCTTGCACTCTCTTTCTTTCTCCCGTCCACTGTCCACTCTACTGCATCATCCCGAGCTTGAGCAGTGCCGCGGGCCTCTTTTTTTGTGATCCCAACAACCTTATCCAATACCCTCACACCTCTCTACTACCACCCTTCCTTTTGGCCTTTCCTTTTCCCCCTCCTACCTTGCTCCGCAGAAGTAGCAATCGGTCTTTTTCTGTTCACTTTCGTGACTATTGGAGATATGCCTATGTTTTATTATTTGGCTTAGCTCAGGTACGTCTTTCTGATTCCTTCAGCTCCATCACCACCACCCACCCCTAAAGCGGCAGCCGGTCATAGACCCAAATTACATGCCAAAAACAGAACCCACAACACGCACCTCTCACATGTGCTCTTCACCGGTTATCCCTCTTGGATTTTCCGTAAATTCAAGCAGGCTGTGGTACTGACCTTGTTCACACCAGGCTTTCCACTCTCAGCGCTGCTCTCACCTTCCAGAGGTACCTGCCGACCTAAGAATACAACGCTGTCCTACCGCACCTTCCGTTCTCCACCGATAACGACCCCAACATCACTTCGGCTGACATTCTGCGCTTTACTCCGTACACCAATACCAACTTTGGATTGCGCCTGCCCCAGCTTTGGACATTTCTCAAGAGCCTTCTTTTCCACTCTGGCCCAGACGTCGGGCTATCATCAACAAGCAGTTGACTTTGCGCAAGAGCTTCAGCGCCAGTCACCCTACGACAGCGCAACTCTTGCACACACCTAAGCTTCCCCCACCCCGAATCGACTCCCTAAATCTGTCAGTCTGGCGTTCCGAGCTCTTCGCGCTGCCGGCCTCGTTGTAGGTCTTGGTCTTACAGCCCTCGCCGCCTACAATAGCAACCAGGCCGAGATGGACTCCCATGCCTCAAGAGGCGGGCACCTGGTTGCCACGGATGGCCGAGAGGTGGTTTACTGTCACGCCTGCTCCCATGAGTGGTGGCAAGATGAGCATGGTCTGCAGTGCCCTCGCTGCGAAAGCGAGATTACGGAGATTGTACGATATATTACTACTACCCCTTCCCTCCTGCCACATTTGCTGACGTACACCCAGGTTTCTCCCGAGAATGACCCTAGAGAGATCGAGGATGGTCCCCCGCTGCACGATTCCCCGAGACTCAGACGTCACATCTACGATGACGATTCGGATCCTGAAGAGGCCGATATAGAGGAGCATCTGCATCGCGGCCCAGGCGGGTTCGTCGTACACCGAGCGATATGGGACAATTCTCAGCGCCCGGGACAGAGCCCAAACCCAAACGCGCGCCAACCCCCCGATGTGAACGACGGCGACCAGATTATTCGACGCTTTATTGATATGGTGAATGATTTCGGCATGGGCATGCCTCCGCGACCTCCCGATGAGACCCGCCCTCCTGGCTTTGGCGTTGGTGGGAACATTTTTGGCGGTCAGGGCAATGTTCGCACATTCCAGAGAACAGGTCCCGGAGGCACCACGAGCTTCACGATCGCCACCGGACCCATCCACGTTCACCAAGGAGGAGCCAACTCGCCTGCTGGACCTGGAGGCGACCCCTTCCAGTCGTACGTCAGCCTTGAACCTCGTGGCCAGCCACCACCTGGACCTCGAATCACAGTCGTTTCCATTAGAGCGAATGCTGACCAACTTCCTAGTATCTTCAGCAGCGTCCTAGCTGGAGCAGGACCTCCTCAACCGACCGGAATGGGTCCAGGCCAGGGACAGCGCGGGCCTAATCAAGCGCCTACACTTCTCCATGAGATTCTCAACATGCTCAACCCAGCCAACGCCTCACACGGCGATGCTGTGTATACCCAGGAGGCCCTGGACCGGATCATTTCTCAGTTGATGGAGCAGAATCCTGCATCGAATGCGGCACCCCCGGCGACTGAGGATGCGCTCAGCAAGCTCAAGCGGAAAAAGGTCGACAAGGAGATGCTTGGCCCCGAGGGCAAGACCGAGTGCACCATCTGCATTGACGATTTCAACGAGGGTGACGATGCTACAGTGCTGCCCTGTAAGCATTGGTTCCACGACCAGTGCGTCGTCATGTGGTTGAAGGAGCACAATACTTGCCCGATATGCCGTACGCCGATTGAGGAACCTAGCGGCGGCAGTAGCAACAATGATAACAACAACAGTAACGATGCCAATGCGAGCGGTTCAAACAACGGCGGCAACGACAACAACCCTTCGCAAGCCCGCTCTGGAGCCGCGTCTGGCTCGTCAGACACCCATCAAGACTCGTTCTGGCCCGGCAATGATCCGGGACACTGGGCAAACTCGATGAGAGGAATTCCCCCTCGATCTAGTTATATGGACGCGACCCCTCCGGTACCTGCCGACTCCACGAGACCCCAGCCGACATTTGTTGACGAACTCTACGGACGCTATGGGGCCTCCAGCACCGGCCGCAGCGATCCGCAACGTCCCCAGGAAACAAGTCGAATGCCCAGCTTCCGATCGGCTAGACGGGACTCCCATTCGCCTCCGAGCCTCCGCCGACACCAGTCCGATGTGTTTCGAGCTAGGCAGCGGAGCCCCTCGTCTGGAAATTGGGACAGAGGTCAGGACAGCAACCAGGACAACAACCAGGACGCCGGATCCAACCACGGCCCGCTTAATTGGCTGAGAAACCAGTTTTCTCGAGGATCAGGTTCGGGAGACAGCAACCCGCGTGAGAGACGGAGACAGTGAGCTTGTGGGATTGATTAATGGAATGGAATGGATCTGGGTGGTTTGCCAATGAAAGATTTGAGCGAGCCACGCGGCTCTAACGCGGCCGATAGGCATATCACGAATTACGACGAGGGTCGACGGCGTTTAGCATTGGTCGTTGAGACCGTTATTTTTCTCTTGAGCTCGACCGCGCCGCCGTGGGTCAGATTTTGATGACCCGCAGGGCCTCTTCTGTACATACTTGGGACCTTGTCACATGAAAACAGACAGGCATCCTCCATTTGGTGGCGAGGGTTAGGCAGGATTAAATTTCCGTACTGCAGTCAGCATGATAATAGGAAGTCTTCGTCCCAACGTGAAATGCATGAGCATATTGCTGGATTGTGGAACGGGCGGCTAGTAGCGAAGTCAAGAGATCCAAGCAGGTTCAAGTCATCATCGGGAATCAGTCTCACCTCCAGATCTTACTCCATCTTGATGAAAGGCACTCTTGTGTGACCCCTTCCGTTTCTTAATGTCCCATCGTATCACTGTTAAAACACATAATAACAGTCGCCCTCAAACAGAAGAGAGTTGCCTGCGTTTCTGCTGCAAATATATTGCTCGCAAGGTAGAATAGAGATGTGTATACGCCCCGTACACCGGTTCAAACAAATAGCCGTCGTTACTTCCATACAAATACACATTACCAGATACTTTGAAAGGGGGAAGCACGGAGTAGTAAAGATTTGGACACACACGATACGCGATGCAACCGTGGCAACACTTGCACATGTGTCATCCTTTACATCCCCTCGCCCCCCTTCGAATGCAATCGCTCCTTTTCATCATCGCCTTCATCTCAGGTGTCTCCGTCCCTTCACCCCCGACACCCTCTACAGTTCGTTCCCACAAACACAGGCACGGTGTGTCGCATCTCCTATCTCCTCTTAACATTCCTCACCAAAAACGCACCCACCACGCCCGCTGCGACCGCAACGCCGCTGATGATGGCGACGCCCATGAGCCCTTCCTTGGCGACCTTGTCGTCGACGAGCTGGCGCAGGTTGGAGGCCTGGAGGTTAGCGGGTTCCTTTTCCAGCAAGAGATCGTTGTAGCGGCGGGCCTCGCCGTAGTTTCCGAGCTTGTAGTTGCCGAGGGCGAGGTAGAAGAGGCACTCGCGGCGGCGCTCGGGGGAGACGCGGAAGATTTCGGAGAGGAGGCGGACGCCTAGTTGTTGGTCGTTGCGGGAGTCTGATTTTACGAGGCCCTGTTTTGTTTTTGCGTAGTGATCAGGAGATGTTTGGAAAAAGAATAAAAGAGGGCGGATGTGATGTCGGCGACTATGAGGGAGGAAGAGAGGGGGGGGGGGGGGGGAAGGTTATCGTACCCATGCGTAGTTGAACTTGGTTTGGACGCCGACCATGTCGCCTTCCTTTTCATACTGGGCGCGGAGGACCTGGAGCTCGGATGCCTTGAGGGGCCTGCGGTGCGAGGAGGAGGTTTGTTAGTTCACGATGATGTCGCATGATCGGGTGTCGCGGGGGTGGGATGGAAGGTCGGCCTTGCAGATTAGAAGGAAAGTTTTGACATACGTTTCCGCGTCCAGGGCGTCTGCGAAGAGTTGTCAGTCATGGACTCCTTCGTAGCGACGTGGTTTCGCTCCAGGCGGGGAGGAGGAGGGGAAGCAGAAGGGTGGACTTACAAGGTAGATCAACCATGGCTGCGATGATGCGGTTGACTCGTTGGCTATGGAAATGTCGTGGGTAAAGGTTATTTTTCTTTTGTTTTGACGGATCGTACGAGTGTGTACAACTTCGCAGTAGTGTCGTGGAGTTGAGAAGGTTCGATCGTGTGGAAGTTCGAAAAGTAGCTGTCACAGTTGCAAGGTATGACAGGGCTGAAGATACCAAAGCGTTGAAAGATGCTGAATGCAGCAGAATCGAGAAAAAGGTGCAGGCTACAGCTGGGAAGAACAGGATCGGGAAGAGTGGCTGAAGCTCTGACATTTGAAGATCCGTGGGGACTCTTCCAGGCGGGTCACCCTGGGGGCCCAGCCAGCAGCAGCAGCAGCGGCGGCGACGGCGGGCGGCGTCATGTGTGGCGGATGACGAGTGTTGGAGACAAGCTGAGGTGGGGCGGTTGAGTCTGTGACAGGGGTCACTTACTGTAAGAAACTTAGTCATCACTGATTGTCGTCCGGGTGATGCCGTGCGATAAGGTAAGCCGGGGGCAGACGAGCAGCGACAGTTTTTTTTGTTTGGGGGATTCCTGCATTGGGTTTAGGCTGGTTCGTTCTGCCGTGCTTTATCCCACCTGCACGATTTCTAGTCGCATGCTTCCATCAGCCCAAGTCAATCAATTAACGACACCAAACACCACCACGAAAACAACGCGACATCACGACTCTACCTCTCCGCGCATACACACAGCAAGACAGCGATACAATAAAACACATTCACCAAATCAAAGACAGAACAATCAACCAAGATGCTTTTAGCAGAGGAGCCCGCGACGGTAGGTTCCCCTCCATTCCCCGTCTTCCCGTACTGTTGACGGCATCTACTTTCTATTCATAGAAGCCATCCGCTGACAAGAGATAACTTTTCCGCGCCAACAGCTCATCTCGCACACAATCGACAACTTCAACATCCAACCAGACAAACAAGCCATCGCCCGCATCAATGAATCCCTCTCCACCCTCCAGCAGGCCCGCGAGCTGCGTCTCCGCGAGGCAGAGAATGCCCTCAAGAGTACGTCCCCCGGTCACCCATCCTCCATCTCCTCCAGAACACAAGCCAGCCCAGCTTTCCTCCCTCCAACGATCACGACAAACCCCCTTCCCTCAAAGACCACAACCCGCATCTCCAACCCGCATCTCCGACCCGCATCTTCAAACCCGCGACCCCAAACTAACCTTCCTACACAGAACTCTCCCGCCAACTCAACACAATGACATCCCAACACGCAGAACTAACCTCAACCCACTCCTCCACCGCCCACGCCTCCGAAATAGCCCGCCTCGACACCACAAAATTCCGTACGGCAAAGGCAGCATCCGACGCAGAAATGGAAGCAGAGCGCCTCGCCCAGCAGGCCGCCGACCTCAACGCCCGCCTGCAGGAGCTCGAGATCCAGGGGCTCGACGGCTCCGCCGACGAACAGGCGCGCCGCCGCGACCCCGTCGACGACGAGGTGCTGCTGCGGCTGAAAGTGTACCGCAGCTTGGGTATCGAGATTGAGCGCGATGGCAAGGACGGTAGCGGCACGGGCGAGTTCACGCGCGCGGTTGTGAGGAATGATCGCAAGGGGGATGTGCATGTCGTGAATATGGACAAGAAGTTTTCAAAGTTTTTTTATGCCAATTACTTTTGGCAGACTTTGTAGAAAAGGGCTTGTTTAGGTCAGGGAGATTGGTTCTGTTTGGGATTAATGACGGCGTTTGGAGGACTTATGATCGGATACCACGTCTTGAATAGACACTTTTCTTCACGACTGCACAAAAGCTGATCAATAATCGTGTCTCCACGAATGTTGATAATACGATTTGTCAATCACATGAAATATGAACATTGAACACATTTTCTTGAGCGGCGAACAAAAGCCTTGAAATTGATGATTTCTTAATTGTTGTCCGTCTGGACTGATGTTGAGATGTGATACAGCCAAACGCCTATTGACTCCCAGTTCCAGTCCATAATCCTGTCCGTAAGTAGCCTCGCCGGGCCAATATTTCCATCCCTTGCCTGAGACTGTCCGTCATAGGGGATATCTATCCCGATTCTACCTGACCTTCCTCCCATTGCCCGATCCAGAGACTTATTTCATGCCCTGTATCCCGGCTTTATACAAAGGAAAATGATTCCCACAACTCTCTTACACCGCCCACTTCCACGGGCATACTTTTCTCGTCATCATCGTGGCAAGAGAGTCGATTGAGAACCATGATTTTCTCTTTCCGCATCCATTAATGATAACTTTTTGGTCACCCAACAACAGGAACATATCCTCTCACGCCACGGCAACCTTTCTTACAGACTTGGTTGATAATGATGGAAAGTAGTCACCATCGACACCGTCGAGTGCTGTGAAGGCTATGTGCGTGTTGGTCGGTGTTCGTGCTCTTGAGCTGTTGGGCGACACAATAGCAGTGTATCCGCCTCGGTTGCTCTCTGGACTCCGGTTGCGGCCACCCTTCATCATGAGGTAGCCCTCGCCGCCGCCTGGAGTGGTAGGTCCACCGCTGGGACTCCTGTGGTGATGGCGTTGATACTGACGATCGGGCAACTCGAGACGGGAGTTAATGGTCATCCACAACTCATCGTCGTTTCCGTTTCCTAGACGCCAGCCACCAAGACCCTCATAGTCCCGATCAATACCGACAGAGGGGAACAGGCCGATGCCGCCTGACTCCGAGATGGGTGTTATTGTGCCAACGGAGACGGCGGAGGCAGAAGACGGTCGCCTTGCACGACGCGAGGCGGAACGCCGTGTGGGCGTTAGCGACGGTGACGGACTACCGGACACCGGTACCTTGGAGGCATAAGAAAGATACCTAGGACGACCGGTAATGTACGACGGGAGCAGAGATATCGCGAGATCAAAGTAGACGAGAATGACTCGGAATATGAGAACAGTAAAGGCGAGTGTTGTTGTAATCCCGGCAAATATCGCTAGCGGTATGGTGAAAAGGAAGAGGAAGGGGACGATGATGGCGTATACGGGGTTGATGAGAGCCATGGCTGCGGTTGATTGACGTAAAAGCCGTCTGATTGAGGGTCGTGGTTATCGATGTCTCGAGGAATCGCTCCTTCACAACATCTCCTCAGCTTCCTCGAAATTTGGCCGATGCGTGGTTTATCTCTCGGCGAAGCAAAAGGGTGGTTCCGAGTGTGACCAGTAAGTCCCGATGACTGAGTCGTACGATCCGGTCACTGTCGTTCGGTCGGCGGTCCGATCGTTCGATAACGTTGTAATACCCAGCCCACTGTCGACGATTCCCACTCCTTCAACACTTGGAAACAGAAACGAATGTGGACGATCAGGAAAAGCTGTGTGGACGGAAACCCAGCGGTTTTGTATGATGCGGCAACGGAATGTCAGGTATTGTGTAGGAAGATTTGGTGCACACCTAAAGTCAAAACTTCAGAGACATGGCGGACGGGAGAGGTATGCTCGAGAGAATTGGGATGAGACGAAGGGGAGCCGGGAGCGAGCCTTCAAACCTAGAGGTTGGTGGCTCCCTGGCGTGTGGCAGCACGGAGGGGGGTCTGAACCACATCGGAGAGAAAGCGTAAAGAGACGCAGTACGGAGTAGGGGTGCAGTTGCTGTCGGATCGAGACTTTGTTTGGTCTCTTTCACATGCCGGAAGCTAGCGGCAAAGCACTAGCACCGCCCTTGTCTTCTTCTGCCCTTGTCCTTGGTCTCCTTGCCCTTCTTGTATGAGGGGGGGCGTTCGATGCAGTGTAACGCTACCTTATCAGAAAGAAAGGAAAAACTGGAGAAGCCGAGAGTTGGACTATCACAAGCTACAGGGTCTCGATGGGAGACTACACCCGTTGCCAGCGGCTTGGCTGATGATGGAATGCGAGTAGATTTTGTGGTGACTGGCCCATCTTGACTGTGCGCTCTAGCTTTCGAATGCCAGGAGAGTTTTTCTGCCCGCCACGTATGGGGGCTCCGGCAAGAAGAGGATTTGAGTAACACCTACTTCGTTGCCGTAAGGCCTGTGAGCTCTCTTTCGTATTCCACAGGGCCATCGGTTTCCGAGCCTGGATAGTTCAGGCCGTCCAATATTGAACGTTGTTCAAATCAAATCCCGCTGGGACGGTGGATGAGGGAAACAGAGTTTGCAGTTCCTGGACGGTGTCTTTTTTTTCTTCTTTTTTTCCATGTGAAGAGCGACGTGTTTCTGACAGACAGAAACGGCTGTGGGGAGGAAGCGGAAAACAGAGTTTGCCGGGTGAATCAGCGTCTTGACTTATGCGCCTCCGGGAGTCGGAATCCTCTGCCTGCGAGCCACTGTCCAAGTAATGCGCCCTGGTGTTCATGGAAGAGTGACGAAAGACAGCAAACGTGCGTTCCGGACTTGGGATGGGCGGACATTGTGTGTGTGTTTGTCTACGAATAGGTATTTTGCCGCTATCAGCATTTCCAAACAAGACATCGGTTGGTGATGATGAATGCAAGCCCGCCATGCGGTTGGTGGGCAGAAAGATAAGAGGCCCGTTTCGGTGAGATGAGTCCGCTTGTTGTCCGAAACCGATCGCCGCGTCTCCGCATCTCCAGACTCAAGGCGTGCCAGGGTCAGGGTCAGCGTTGTACGGAAGGTCTGGGGAAAAGTGCAGGGAAGAGTATCTCGAACTGTAGACCCCGCAAGTCCAGAACACAAGGACGTTGCCAGTCAGAGCTCGCCAGCGACGAGCAACGGACAAACAGGGGCAGAATGGCTCGAAAGATGCAGCTTTTGCGTGCCTTCGAGGTAACGTTAATCATGTGTGTAATGATTTAGCGTTCTCCAGGCGGCCAGGCCGTCCCCAGATATGGCAAGCTTGCATCCAGGCGTGCCGGGGTAGCAAACGTGTATGCAGCAGACCACGGTGGTGTATGAGCCGCAAAGATTGGACCGATCTTGTCAACGGCAAGCCAACACAGCGAAGATCCCTAGCAAGGGCGAAACGCTCGGCATGGCGAACTTTGGGAGACGAGCCATGGCCATGACTGCCGTCTGCCATACCGGGTTGGCCCTGGACAGGCGGGTAAGATGCGCTTGGTTTCCCCGCGATATCAATATCGAGCAAGTGGCTTCTCCAGTCACAGCCTGGATAGCTGGATGAAAATCCCGGGGTGCATGTGGGATGTCTTGGTTGCGCAGCTGGTGTCAACTCCATCTACCCCAGACCAGACCAGCACGACCATTAACGGTTGTCTGGGGGGAAGAAAGTGTCAGTGTGCTCCGTAGGCAGCTCGTAGCATTCTTTGCAAAGTTCCCATGGCCCATGCTTCCCTTGTGTGGTTGTTAGGCAGCGCCATTGGTATAAAGGCAGACGCCACAGCAAAAACAGGCATGGCGATCGTCAGAAGCCAAAGCTCCCCGAACAAGCTTGCGACAGCCAACGAGCGCAGACCGCGGAGGGGTCGAGGCACGGCGATGCAACCGGTAGAGTTCTCATTGTCCTAGACGCAGACCTAGACGCAGCCCTAGACCCGATAGACTGACAAGCGGACGATGGGACATTGGGGTCTCTCTGGCAATAGGAAGCCGTGGAGGTGCATGGGAGGGTGCTTCTTGGAGTGGTGGTCATGTATGTATTGGTTCTATGTGATTCGCCAGCTTGGGATTCGCCGGTGAGGATTCGACGGGCATCGAGGGTGTCGTCGTTGTAGGGTGGCTGTGTCTGTGTTGTGCGTTTCTGCAGCTGGTGCATGCACTAAACGCCGACGATACCGACCGACGTGGTGTTTGGCTGCGGCATGACATTCGAGAGACGACACAGAGACTGGGGTCTATTTCTCATGGTAGGCCATCTTCGCAAGATGTCACGGTCGCAGTGACGCTCTTCTTCTGATTTAGAGAAAGTTTGGACGAGGCGACGAAGAGGATGAAGAGGATGATGGTGAGGCGCCTTGAGACTTTGGGAAGCTCGATGCAGCAAGGGTCTCGAGTGTCTCCTTCCTGCCTTACCAAGCTCCTTCATGTCCATCCGCGCGCTCTTTCCGTGTCAAACATGAAGGTACTTGCTAGTCCCGCTCCCCTCCCGGTCCCCTCCTTCCCCCGGCCGTCCCCGCCCGTTTCCCGTCGTTCCTTCCAAAACTTCAAGTGATCCAATGAAAATGGAAAAGGAAAAGGAAGTCACAGAGTCCATGTTCCATCGGGTCGCTCCTGCCCTTGACATCATTCCACAGTGGCCCCACTAATTACCCGTTCCAGATCTGCCTGCTCTCAGATGCCCAGAGGCTCAGAGGCTCTCAAAGCTGCCCCGCGTTTCTCCTTGTCACTGCCACAGCATCATCGCGCCCTTTCATGGCGATAACATCGAGATGCTCCACTCCAAAAAAAATATCACATCACCACACATTATCACCTTTGCGCCGGTGTGGCAGCCTTTCTGCGACTCTTTGCACTTCTCAGTTGACGGGTATCCATCTCCGGCACACCGGGCACCACACCGGGCACCATTCTCTTTCACCACCGCTGTCTCTCCATCTACACATTGGACGTGCCTCGAGGTACTTGTCCACGCTTAGAGACCCCGTCGTATTCGCAACCCCTCCGCCGCCGTCCAAGACCGTCCCAGCGCACCGCAGTCCCTGCTTGCAACCGTTACCCAATCCCATAGTTCTAGCCGTCCCGTTCCTGGCCACTCATTTGCGTTTGCAAGACGGCCAAAGATATTGGAAGGTTCCGGGGTGCAGTCACCGGTTGGAGATAGCGATAGTCAAACTATCTACCTATCGTGTTATACCTCTCCTTTGAGCCACAACCGTCTCCTCTGTTTGAGGCCAGGCGATCACCGTCTTTCCCGCTTCCCCGTAAAGCTCAACCCAGTACGGATACACAACCAGCTCCAGGCCAGGTCAAGTACCGACAATTCGCCAGTCAGACAGCACCATGTGTGGCCAACACGATGGTGAGGAGCCTACTCGCTCCACTACCGTCACATCTGTCTCGACTTCATCGGACCCCTTCCCCTGGGAATCTGGCATCTACGATGCTCATTGCCACCCCACGGACACCATGTCCACCATCGAGGCTATACCCGGTATGCGCGCCTCGACCCTAACCGTCATGGCCACCCGGAGCCAAGACCAGGCCCTCGTTGCTGAGGTTGCTGCGTCCCACGGCGTGCGCTCAAAGTACGGGCTGTCTCAGGGCCATCTGATTCCCTCCTTTGGCTGGCATCCGTGGTTCTCTTACCAGCTGTCCGATGACACCGTGCCCGAGGCTGAGAGGACGTACCACGAGGGCCAGCCCGATGCAAAGAAGCGCCACTACCAGGCCGTGCTAGCCCCCGCCCCTGAAGACCCCGACTTTCTCGACGCCCTGCCCACCCCGCGTTCTTTGTCGACCTTTTTAGCCGATACCCGGGCCCGCCTCCAACAACATCCCCTGGCTCTAGTCGGTGAGGTTGGTCTCGACAAGGCCTTCCGCCTACCCCAAGGACGAACGGACGCCGACGAGTCCTCCCGTGACCAGGCCCTTACCCCAGGTGGTCGCGAGGGGCGTCGTTTGGCGCCTCAACATGTCAAGATGCCCCACCAGGTTGCCGTGCTGAAAGCTCAGCTGGCTCTTGCGGGTGAGCTTGGCCGTCCTGTGAGTGTTCACGGCGTCCAAGCCCACGGTGTTCTCCATGATACCCTCTCTTCGTTGTGGAAGGGTCACGAGAAGGAGGTTGTCAGCAGGAAGAAGCGTCGTCTCGTTGCCGAGGGAGCCGAGGACTTTGATTCCGAGGACGAGCTTGAGGAGGATGAGTTTGGCAGGAAAGACGTCCCGTCGAGGCCGTACCCGCCGCGGATATGCCTCCATTCGTACTCTGGACCCGCTGAGATGCTGAAGCAGTATACTCATCCAGCAATACCAGCGCGCATGTTCTTTTCCTTTTCTTCAGCCATTAACCTGGGTACCAAAGCTGGTGCTGACAAGATTGCTGAAGTTCTCCAGGCGTGTCCCGACAATAGCATCCTGGTCGAGAGCGACCTGCATATCGCCGGTGAGGAGATGGATGCTAGACTGGAGGAGATGTACAGAAAGGTGTGCGAGATTAAGAAGTGGACATTACAAGAGGGGGTGGAACGCATAGGGAAGAATTATCGGGAGTTCATCTTTGGTTGACATGGGTACAAGACGTAGAAATACTACCAAGATGCCAAATACCTCTCCGTGATGGACAGTAAGAGATGTTCATAATGTGCCTATAATAGACGTCGAACAAGGCAGAACAAACATCGCAGTCACGACAACTTCTACACGCGCCCGCAGATTGCGAATCCTACGCATTTACATCCAATAACCACACACGCGAAACCTCTCATTTCCTTTCTCCCTCTTTATCACAAAGCGATTTTCAACGGCCATGGGACTTTGGGATGATGGCATGAATTTCACTCAATGATCATTGGTTTACTTTGCACCATTAGTCGGATACGTGATGTGTTGGGATCAGTTCTTTTCATTCGTGATTATCTCTTCATCTCTTAATGGCCTTGAGTATCTATATCGACACCCGAACAACCCACGACACTGCTCCTGTTTAGCCCACGGGCCAACAAACGCCGACCACCTAGATAGTATATATATACATAGCAAAAAAACAAACACACCAGCAAAATGCGTAAGAGAGGAAAAAAAAATAGATGTGATATAGATGCGGGATATCTCTACTGAATATCAATGTGTTATACTCAAAAAAACCGACTCTCTTTTCACTACACTCCATATACATCCCCTCTCCTTCTCTACATGTCCAGATGAAAGATAAGACTACTTTATAGGACTCTAGTTCTTGGTCTCTCCCAGGACATCATCAATGTTGGACGCCGTATCCGAGCCCGCGCTGGGGGTGTAGTCGCTCGAACCGGGCGTGTAGCTGCTGAACCCGTCCGAGACGATCACGGAGGGGGCGGCGTGCTCGTCGTAGGCGGGCAGGACGTCGTCGCCCATGTACTCTGCGAACGCTGTGGTCGGGCTGGGCGGGGTGATGATGGCGGGGCGCTGGAAGTGGGAGGGCATGAGGTGGTGCTGGCACGGCATCTGCTGTTGCTGTTGTTGTGCCATCTGCTGCTGCTGCTGCTGCTCCTGCTCCCTCATCCTCTGCCTACGCTCCTCAGCGGCGACCATCTCCGATACGAGAGTAGCAGCGTTGCGGAACTCGGTAATCTCATCCGTCATGCTCTCCATCGTCTCAAAGTCCCTCTCGCTCTCCGAGAGGGAAGGGCGGCCGTGGGAGGAGCTCATGAACGCCTGCTTCTCCTCGTCTTCTGCCGTGCTGCCGCCGGCGGTGGTGAACATGCGGGACCAGAAGTCTGTGAGGGTGGCCTTGAAGGCTTCCTTGCGGGCTTCGCGGTAGTCGCGGCGGAGGGCGCGGCGGGAGTTCTTGCGCTCGCGGCGCTCTGCGCGGGATTCGCTGTGGCGGGAGGATCTAGAGGAGGAGGAGCGGGAGACGATGCCGGCGCGGAGGAGGGCTAAGATTCCGATGAAGAGGAGGACTGCGACGGAGATCTTGGCGGGGAGGGGAAGGTGAGGGGGCCCGTGGGGCGGTCCATGAGGGCCTCCGTGTGGGCCACCGTGAGGGCCTGGGGGAGGAGGGGGGAAACCCGGGGGCTGTTGATTGTGTTAGTAATCTTGGATGCTTGAGAGAAAGGGGAATAAGAGGTAGACTTACGCCGTGATGGCCGTGAGGGCCGCGGTGCTCGCCTTCATGGTCAAGGGGGTGCTCATGCTCAAAGTCGGGAGGGGGTCCCGGGGG